CATGTGAAAGGTGCCCTTGTGCTTAGGGGAAGTGTTGGTGACCAGATGAAACCAAACAGAATTTGGCTTTTTATGGTCTTGGAAGTTTCCATTGACGCCTGTCTCCCTGTTGTGTAAGTGCAGCCTCTGGCCGTGTTGCCAGAACACACAAACCATATCCCCAGCCAGGACACAGCAGGCCCTCACTGGCCCTACAGCCTCTGCCCTCCAAATCCCCAATCTGCTGAGAACGAGATGATCTGAACCACGTACATCACTGCAGGCTTCCTGGCGTCAGCTGTTGCGAGGGACCTTTCCTGGCACGCGTCTGAAGTAGCTGATTCTCTGTTGGAGGGCAACAAAGGTTTTATAGGTGGCTGCCCCAGCTTACTCATGCTCTTATGATTATGTACAACCTGGTGACATAGCCAGAGACGCGAGGAGGTCCTGTTCCTTTCAGAGATGTGCTCCTAGAGCAGCAAGTGTGGGAAGAAACCAGCTCAGCACTGCGAAAACAAGCGGGGAGTTTCTTAAAGCCTGACCTTGAACATTTTTGTATTGAGTACTGAATATGGAAATGTGTATCAGGTACAGGCTGGAGCATGTTATGAGTGTCGATACGCACATTCATACTGTGGATTGACGTACACTACCAGGAGCATATACCTGCAGATGCCCTTCCCTCACCCTGGTGCCAGACTCACAGAGCGCGCCGTGCAGCCCTGCTGATCGCAGCTCCCAGCTGGAGGCAGCCTTTGCTTCTTGCTGAGAACGGTCCTGGACTTCCTTGCAAACCCTTGAGTTCTGATCGGTGAGAAGGTGTCAGAGCAAGAGCGAAGCCTGCACTGCAGCGCAGTGCTGGAGACCAGAAGAGGGTCAAAGGAACTTCAGAAGCAGGCATGTTCCTGAGGTCCCTTAAAAATCACGCGCAGACCTAGAGCAGTCTCCCAACACCCTACACCGACACAAAGTTAGGGATAGCACAGACCTGCCCTGGGACCCAGCTCGTGGTGTGACATACCAGGGCCCAGTGTGCCTCCAGCAGGTCCCCTTGCAGAGCTCCTGAGCAGGGCGCTCATGTTTTAGTGCCACCATCCCACTTCACGTGCGTGCCAACCTGTGCTCGGGCAGCAGGACAGCTCAGCAGGCTCGACCTCTGACAAAAGCCAGGAGCCACTGATGTGCAGCTACACCGACACTGCTCGTGCCCTGTGCAGGGCAAGCCCAGGCTGGAGGACTCCCACAAAGAAGAGCTTGCTGGGGAAGCGTCCCCTCCACGAGCAGAGGCCGTGGTGAAGCTGCATGGGCTGGTCTGAAGCAGTTTGTCTGCTGGATCTGGAATCAGCAGGACGCAGCTACTCGGATGATGGTATCGTGTGTGGTATAATCTAGATGTAAACAAAGAGAAGAAGGGGTTTGGGGAGAGCACACACAGCAGCTGGCTGGGTAAACAAAAGCCAAATGTTGTCCATATGGGGAAAGAGCAGCAGCAGGGGCCTGCACTCAGCCAGGATTTTGAAAAACCAAATAAAGGAAAATACTGAATGCTTGCGAACTTTGGGAAGCAGACACTTAAAGCCCCACCACTGTGCTCTGGCACAGCCCTTTGTCGTTTCTTTGCCTCCTAGACTAAGCCAGTGCAGGCGTAAGGCTGAGCAGCTGTTTCCATAGCATCAGTCTTTCACATTGCAAGAGACTTGAATGAAAATATGTTTTCCTAGGCCGAGCCTATTGAGGATTTGCTCTAAAGCCATTTATCTGTGGGAGGGTCGTTTGGCAACATTTAATTTTCCTGTCTGTGAGTTTCTGCTCCATTTTAGCAGAGTTGATGTGTAAATTGTCATCAGTTCTGGCTACTGGCAAACAGACTGTGGGGAGGTGCCTTCTCGAGGGAAAGGGTAGGCAGGGCTGAGCTGGGAAGCGGGGTCAGCAGGCACTGCTGGGGAAAAGGATAGAAGTCAGAAACATGGGAGCATGGGCCTTGCGCTGGGAGCGACGCTCAAACAGGAGACCACAATGCAACAAGGTGCAAAAATCTGCCTTAGCTGGTTTTGGACACCAACAGTTACCCCACAGAAGGATTAAAATTGTGTATTTAAGCTTCCTATGGGTTGAGAGCCAATACAAATGTCATTTAAAATGACACCTTTCTCTTCTTGCCTCAATAGGGCAGCTTTATTCACAATGGAAGGCTCCGCAAGCGTAAATGCTGCGAACTGGTCACAGCCAGATAAGATTTTCATTTTCTGAGAAGGAATAATTTCCCTTCCACAGTGCCAAACTGCGAGGTTTCATCCTCCCCTTTGGAGGATCTTGAAATGTTGGGCTGTTTTTTTTTTTTCTTTCCAGCTTACCCAGTCTTACATTGGTGTGAGCATTTTGAACAGCTCTAAAGTAAAAGTCTGCAGAGCTATGAAGAGAAAGCTGAAAAAGGCAATGTTCAGAAACTAGAAAGCAAATGTTTAGAATGCACTATTTTAAATAAATCCTGTAGTTTTGCCTGAATTATGATTTTTGAGCACCCTGAAATGGAAATACTGTTAACCAGCTGCTTTGTTCCTAGGGCATCATTTTGCCACATGATAAACTTTAATCACTATGGAAGTAATGATACAGCCGGATACAACACACAGAAGCCGCTTGGGGAAACGTGACCTGTGTTGTCCCTTCTAGGCCCTGTGCTGAGGAGCCAGGCATAGCCCAGTGGTCAGCAGCGGCTTTGAGAGTACGCTGGGCTGGGTCCTCATTCCAGGGATGAGGTCTCTGCAAGACAGACCTGGGTTCTCTTAAATCCTGCTGTGCTCCAGCTCTGAACAGCCAAGTTACAACCAGTTTTTATCACTGGCTCTGCATTCCAGGTCTCTAGGCCTCGCCCCTCGTGTATCTGTAAAAGCTTCCAGCTGGTTTATCTTCATCACTCGCTGGCAGCTGCATTGTCCTCGCTGTCTCCTTTATTTTGCTCTGCAATTCAATCCTGCATGTCGCCGTAGACTCCTACATGAAGAGTTGTTGCTACTAGAGGAATCCCTAGTTGAACCCATGGAAGCTCTCTGTATTTCCCTTTTTGGATCAAATCTGTAAAGGTTTAGTTAGCTCTCCACCCCCCGGTTTTTCTCTTGCCCCCACTCTGCTGACTGTTGTCATTAACAGAAATGTGTTGGATAAAAAGGGAGCTCCCAGATTTGATGCTCTTTCACCCTATACTGAGAACGTGTCCCACCCCTCTGCCCCCCAACCAGGTACCTCGGTAAAACTCCTCTGCCACGCGCTGCCCTAAGTGGGGCGGCACCAGCGGCGCAGCGCAGAGGGGCCCCCGAGATAGGAAGGCAGTGGCTCGCCTCAAGGACGGGCGGTTCAGGTTCTTTACAGGCCTGACGGGCTTCACAGGGCGTGCTGCTCCTGGGGCTGATTTCGGCCTTCTTTCACTGCCTCTGACATCTAAAACTTGCAGGCTCTTGTTTGTTTTTAATGAAAGCCGATGGTCTCGTGTCACCAGCCCGTCTGCCGGACCAGAGGGTGCAGGTGCCTGAGCCCAGTAACCGCCAGGCTGGGTCCCTGCTGGGCGTCAGTCAGCTCCTCGGTTCCTTGCTGGCCTCCTCCTTGCCCGTGCATGGGGTGAAGCCGGAGGCGTTCTCTCACGAGAGGGCGGCATCGGACACGCGAATGGCGGCTCCCGGGGTTACAGCCTTGGACGAGCCAGCGAGAGCGGCTTTCCCTTTGCGGAGGCACCGATTTATGGTTTTCACGTGTGGCAAAGCAGGGGCAGCGCGGAGGTAACGCGACAGCAGTCTGCAAGAAAAGGGCTGCGCCTGAAACACGCTGAATAGGGACATTTTAGCTGGAAAAACAGTAATTTGGCGGCGCTGTCGGCAGAGGGGCCGGGCGACAACGGC